CTGCTGGAGATCTGCCTGCTAAATCCCCTCCTCCGAGACTAGCTGCTGGTGGTCTAAATGGGCTTTATTATAGTGGGGTTGTGGGTTGGCACCTAACCCTGCCCAGCCTGTAGCTACCGTGCCCACCAAAGTCCTGTGTCTGAGCCAGGACTCAGCAATTTCCAGGCCTTCCTGTGTTCTCCACTTCCTGCATGTCTGCACTGTGATGCATGCCGATGCCACCCTTGAGTCCTTAGAGCCCCAATAGAGTAGCACCTCTCTGGTGCAAAAGACCTTGAACTTGCTGTTGCTGAATAGGAGCGATAGCTTATTTCTCCTTTCATAGAGTGCTGCTGCATGGCAGTCCCAACCACCTGTTGACGTGGTTACTTCATACACCAGAATAGGCCAGGAGACTCAAGGTACGATGCCATGTTGGTATATCCAGTCTTTAAATTGGCCAGACTTTTTAACTGTGGTGAGCCAAGATTCCAGCTTCCTGATAGTGGTTTGAATGGCCGTTGCATCTGTGAGGTTGCAGACAAAGAAAACACAGATAATAAAAAATAAAGATATGTGAATAAAATACACGTGTGTATGTGTATATATGTATATATTATCGAAGTAGGGGAGAACATTTAACTGTTCATTAAGTAGATTGCCTGGGGAAAGAAACTTTTTTTGTGCCTGGCAGTCCAGGTGCTCAGTGCTCTGAGCCCTTTTTCTCACTCTGGATATATACAGTTCTTAAAGAGTGGGCAGGGGAGCATCAATAATCCTTTCAGCAGTCCGAACCGTCCTCTGTAGTCTTCTGATATCTGATTTTGTAGCTGAGCCAAATCAGGCAGTTATTGAAGTGCACAGCTGTATGAGTTACTGCCGACTCATCTTTTGGGTGAGCAACTCCTGTGGCAGGTTGAACTTCCTCAGCTGGAAGAGGAAGTACAATCTCTGTTGGGCCATTTTAACAATGGAGTCAATGTGATTGTCCCACTTCAGGTTCTCAGAGATGCCCAGGAATCTGAATGACTATACTGCAGCCAAAGTGTTGTTCATGATGGTGAGTGGGGGGAGTGCTGGGGGGTTTCTCCTATCTCCACTGTTTTGCTCCAGGTTGTTAAGAGTGCACCTGACAGCCCGCTGCTCAACCTCACTTATATATGCAAACTTATCATCGTCTTGGATGAGGCCGATGATTGTAGTGTCACCTGCAAAGTTCATTGCAGTCATTGGTGTAGAGGGGGAAGAGCAGTGGGGAGAGAACGTATCCCTGAGGGGCACCAGTGCTAATGGTGTGGCTGTTTGACATTAATTTCACCAGTCTCACTAGCTGTTGCCTATCTGTCAGAAAGCTGGTGATC